ATAGATAGATAGATAGATAGATAGATAGATAGATAGATAGATAGATATAGATAGATGATAGATAGATAGGATACATAGAGACAGACAGACAGACAGACAGACGAGACAATATTATGAATGGATATAAGATGGTCAGCTCATTTTCACATTAGCAGGAGACAAGGCAAGTGTATAGCTCTTGATACAAATGCCTCTTACATATTGGCTTGATGTTCATGTCTGACACCCCTGGGATTGGACACATTTCCTGTATTTTCTTTTCCTTTAAACCATACTAGAGAGTTTGCAGAGCTTTAGCTTTTCTAAAACAGAATATGTGGCCACTAGAGATATACTGCTTGTATGACACAGTACAACATCCTGAAAAAGCAAGGTCCTTCCATGTTAGCAGGTTAAGGTACAAGTAAGTCATGAATAAGAAATGACATTTTGCTTTGACAGGAACACTCAGATTTATGACTCAAGAGTTACAGAAGAATTTTATATTAAGTTGCTTTTAAGTTTTGTTTTGATTGGTATTCCTCTGTCTCCTCTACCCAACTTTCTGGTCACACATTACAGTATCAAAGATGTTATTCACTTTTGAAAAGGGAAAAAAATGAATCCCACAGCATTTCTTTTTAATAACTGTTCAGCTACAAAATTTTATTGGTATCCTTTTATGTTCCCTCTAGAGGATGTAATGCACAAAAGCATTGCCACGGAACATATAAAATTACAAATGAAATTTATTGTAAAAAGTAGAATGTCTTCTAGACAGGTGTCAGTATTTATTTTCATTCATAAAACAAAGCCAAAAAAAATTGCAGATATAATATATTCATTTGTCAGCATTTGTTCATGGGTGTAAATTGCCATCCAACGTTATTGACTGATATAAGACAGATATTGAAAAGACAATTTAAATTTACTCTTCCAGACATAAACTGTTCCACAAAAGCACTATAAAAACGCCTCCATGATTTGTTTGTTTTTCTGTTGTGCTTCACACTTATGGTTAACTACATAATTTGGTTGTGTCATAATCCATTGTGTTTGGCAATTTGGCATTGAAGGTCTGCAAAGCCGATTGAATCCTCATCACTTCACTGGTAGAAAGCTTGAGTCTGTGACGCAGTAGGCATGAGAAAAGATCTAGACGACGCTGACCAGGAGGAGAAAGGTTATTTACACGGTCCCGGATCTCTAGTAACTGTAAGAGTGCACTGTCCTGGGATCCCTGAGTATAGGGGTAGTCCAGTTGCAAAATCAAATCTCGGATTGCTTCCGGGTCAAAGTGCATGCTGTAGCCAAACACTTGGATGCTGTTGATTTTCATATATCCCAGGTTTCGGGAGGGATCAATAAACTCCAGAGGTTCATAATAGATGCTATCATTGCCATTGGGACCATTTGACTTTATACGACTCCTCAAGTAGATGTGGACCGTTTCAAAAAACGTCTTCCACTTGTTGCCTAGAGTCAGCGTCCAGTTATAACACTGAAGTGGTAAGTCCAGTTTAGTCCGCTCCCAGTCTGGGAAATTGTTTTCATTGACAGGCATAAACCAACTCTCAGAGTGGCTGCCTCCAAAAGGGTTGATGTAAACAGCCAGGACAGGCTCCAAGGTGCTGTTCTTAGTGAGACAAATTTGAAGAGACATTCCCAATATCATATGGACCAGGCTAGATTTATACTTGTTGCTCTTTAGGGTAAGAAGCATCCGTTTGCGCCAGGACGGGTCAAACCAGCTATTGAGACGCATGTCATTGCTGATGAAGATTGCATGGACCTCAATCCGGCGGTCCGTTTTCTGCAATAAATACTTCATCTCCAAATCCTGGAGGTCAGTCTCAAACCCAATGTAATGTTCTGTGGAATCTGCCACTTCAGGCTTGCAAAGCCCTTGGCTCAGCATGTATCCAGTGTTACAGGTCCCACAGCGGGTACGATTATCAGGTGCGCATGTCAGGCAGGCAGAACCATCTCCCACACTACATGGTAGGGAGCCAAGGCAGGCAAGCTGGTCATTCGGGCACGTACATGAATGAGTCTCTTCAGAAAAGCTGCCCAGCAGGCCATTTTCATTGCAGTAAAGGAAGGACTGGATGCGATTTAGCCAATAGAGAGATGATCTGTAAAGCAAATGTGAAATTAATGAATACACAGTGAGAGGTAGATCAAAATGATACAATTAAGCTATTTTTAATCACTTTGAAGGTGAAAACTTCCTGATATATTGGAAAAAAAACATCTGACATAATTAATTCAGATTAAATGAAAAACACTTTCTAAAGTGCAATGATTAAGAGAATGAGATGCAATCTAAAAAGTTCTTGCTTGCAATCTTACTTCAACCATCAGTTTCCTGGAGTGTCTAAAACAAAATATTATCACTCAAGTTATAACCCCACAACAACAAAAATAAACACTAATCCTCTATAATAGGAGAATAACGTTTCCTTGAAGCATTGAAAGGGAAACTCTTTAAAGGATTGATTCAGCTGCTTTGACAGATTTCATAAGATTCTTGCATGTGCATATGCACACAATCATGTTGCTTTCAGTTCCTCTGCTCTGTTTATGTATATGTACATGGGAGCAATCAGGAAGGTCCTCAGTGCATAAGCAGAACTTTATATAGGATACAGTTGTCTCAATGTTTCAAGGCTGCTTTGAAAAAGATTACACACAATTATCTCTTTGATGAATGATCACCAGAAAATACCATTAAAAAAAAAGATCACTGAAGGAAATAGAGAACCATTATCATCAGGGGTGGGATTCAAATTTCTTAACAACCAGTTCTGTGGGTGTCGTCTAATTTGTGCGTGAGGCTTGGTGGTCATGGGATTGGGTGGGCATGGCTTTGTATGTAAATATTATAATTTTTTATGTAAATATTATTTTTTTTTATTAAAAAACAGCAACTTTTACCCCAAAGCAGGCAAAGCAGGCAGGCAGATTGAGTTGCTCACAGAATCACAGATTAGAGATCTATCTTTCTGCAATCGGCTATCTGAGTCTGTCACATAAAATTTGCTTGCAAGCAAACTCACAAAATTAACTCACAACACGCCATGTATGTAAATATTGATTTTTTAATTTATTAAAAAAGAGCAACTTTTACCCCAAAGCAGGCAAAGCAGGCAGGCAGATTGTATTGCTCACAGAATCAGATTAATTTAGAGATTAACTGCGATTGGCTACCTGAGTCTGCACTGACAAGCTTCAGTTCTAAGGAAGGTTCGGCTTTGTTTTTAGATCAGCTAGAAAGCAAGAAATCCAAGGATTTCCTGCTTTCTAGCTAATCTAAATCTCTTGGCAGAACAGAACAGAACAGATAATGGTCGGGGGAAAAAAAGAAAAAATAGCAATTTACCAAACCAGGCAAGTTGGACGGCTCACATGCCAGGTAAGGGCGGGGAGGGGAGGGGCCAGCTAGTAGAGCAATTTGCCAGTACTCCGAAATGGGGACAATTGTGTGTGCAGCGTTTGCAAGAAATCATTAGCTGTGCTGCCAAGACAGCTGACAAGCACTGCGCTCTGGTGGATAGCATTTGAAAATCTTCGTTTCCTGCTTTTTCAACCTCAGTTGTGCCGTGCAAAGCAGCTGAGGAGGGAAAAGCAGGGAATAAAGGACAGCCTAGAGCCCGGGCAGGCGGGTGGGCCAAACACCAAACCGGTTCAGTGTCAGCTGCTCTTCGCAGCTACAGGTTCTGTAGAACCGGGCCAAACCGGTAGCATCCCACCCTTGATTTTCATATTGTTACCAAGAAAATAACCGATATGCTCACAAATTCACTGTGATTCAAACTTGTCTGGTAAAAGATTCTACCTGCAATTGAAAGCTTTGAGACAGAATATATACAAAACAAAACACCCCTTGTTATGGTACTCAAGATAATATACGTAATATATTGATTCATGTTACAAAATGTTGTTCTTCCTTGCAGATAACACTGCATGATCTCTTCTGTCCATTTTATAAGAAACATCGCTAAATATATATTAGTTAAAAATAGATCTCTCCTGGATTTCTGAAAATTTCAAAATCATATTCTACAACTTTCCTACCTCACACCTCCATTTCTTTCCAATTATAAATTAGTTTTAAAGCTGAATCTGTGTTGAACCTACACAATTTCAAATGCATGTCTGTTTCAAGGCAATCCAAAGTCCCTGAAGCATTACCAACAACTTTTATTTCAATTTGGATTGAGGAACTGGACTCCCTCAAGGTTTAACGAGTATTGCACATTAAAACATTGGCTTTAGAAGCAGAGACACTTCAAAACGGCACTTTTCCCCTCTTATTCTTATCAGTAACTACTATCATTGGGAAAAAACGGCAAAATTTTCTGGATAAAATATAGTAGAATATTGTGCTATTGGAATATTGTATATTTTTAGAATGTGATGAACAGATAATAATGATATCCCTTTATATAACTCATCTCTCTTTAAAAAGTAGATTGAGAGGACAATGGAGTTTTCAGTGTTGTAGACTGAGGGTGGAGGCAAGATTTATATGGAAAAGATGTTTTAAGAACAAAATCAAGAAGCACATTATGTATGTGCTTTCCAAAATGCTTGATTCAATGTTAGGAATATATACATTGTTGAAAAGAATGTGGCAGCTGTAGCTATGCAACATTATTGAATACTGATGGTTTCTGTATCTAATTTGTTGTTCAACAGATGTAAAAACGTAGGAGACCAAATATCAGGTAGCTTAAAAACTTTATTTACCAGAATTTAAAGCTCTGCAAGGAAGAAAAACAATACAATACAAGTGAGGGTACTGGGAAAATTCTAACCTAAGTCTGGGCAGTAAATCTGAGCAACTAATCAAGTCTACTCTTTGCCTGGTCTCCATCATTTATATAGCAAGTGGATCTTGATTACCTTCCTACCTCATTTCCAATAAAATTATATTTCAGGGTCCAAGAAAGCATATAGCTTATATAGCTTAATCTGGTTGGCAATAAAATCATGACAACATTTAATGAATTTGGTATTCAACAGTTCAAGTCCTTGGATTACAATTCTACCTGCTCAGTATTGATTGAAGTGCCCTAAAATTCTATCTGGAAGCATTTTTCCAGCTGTTTCCTTACTATATTGTACTTTAGGCCTTGAGGACATCTTAGTTGGCATATACCTCAAATTTTTCTTTGTCCTGATAAAGACATCTGCCTGTTATATAAAATTGCATGGGGGAGGGAAGGGGATGTTTTTGTATGGAATGAAAAAATAATAATCCCAAATGAATAGCAGTTTTTCCCTGCATCTTGTCTCTTAATAAGTAAAACTTTTGCTTTTCCACCAAAGAATGGTGGAGCCCTGGTGTTGCAGTGTTTAGAATGTATTACTCAGGCAAACTCTGCCCACAGTCAGGAATTCAATCTTGATAGGACTTGAGGTTGACTCAGCCTTCCATCATTCCGAGGTGGGTAAAATGAGGACTCGAATTGTCAGGGGGCAATATGCTGATGTTGTAAGTGGTTCAGAGTATGCTGTAAAGCACTATGGAGTGACATATAAATCTAAGTGCTATTGGTAAAGAATAACAAATAAGCAAATACCAATATTAGACAATTAGCTGCTACAGTACCAACTGGTAGTATACTATCAGGAATGACATCGCAAACCCTGGTCCCAAATCAGAGGTGACATTCAGAAGGTTCTGATCAGTTCTGGAGAACTGGTAGCGGAAATTTTGAGTAGTTCGGAGAACCAGTAAATACCACCTCTGACGGGTCCCACCCCCATCTATTCTCTGCCTCCCGAGTCCCAGCTGATCGGCTGGGTCTTCTTTTGTTGCCCTGCACAGGAGAACGAAGCTGGAAAGAAGGTTAGTGGGATGGGGTGGGGAGGGAATGGGGATTTTTCAGTATCCTTCCCCTGCCATGCCCACCAAGCCATACCCACCAATCAATGCCACACCCACCAAGTCATGCCCACAGAACCAGTAGTAATTTTTTTTGAATCCCACCACTGTCCCAAATCATAAGCTTCAAGATATTAGCTTCTAAATGTGCAAAACTGATTTCTGTTGCAACAGTTACAATGCTAAAGTTTGAGATTCAAGGGGGTATATGTTCATTACCTTTTGTTGTTGTCATGTCTATGATTCTAAGTTTTTTCATATCTTCAAATCAATTTTGATTCCTGACAATTGCCTGGACTAAAAATTCCAAGTTGTTTTTTGTTTTGTTTTGAAATGATTGGTCATTGCCTCCTTCCTAGAGCTAAGAGAGTGACTGGTCCAAGATCACCCAATGCATCAGAAAATAGTGAGATTCATAGTCTCCCACTTTCTAGGCTGTTGCCTTAACTCTTACACTAAACTGGCTTTGGTGTGTGTGGGTGTGTATTAAAATGTATATAATATACATTTTTAATATCCTATAACTATTATTAAGTGTTGTACCTTATGATTCTATTCTATTCTATTCTATTCTATTCTATTCTATTCTATTCTATTCTATTCTATTCTATTCTA